CCCACGGTGCTTTCCCATCATATTCCTGTGGCTTCCTTCGCACTGGATCACTCCTAGTACTGACATTCATATCTGGGATCTGACTTCTAACGGGACTGAATATGTCTGCATTAGGGTTTAGCTGCAGGGTCTGGAAGGGGCTTGTCATTGTCTGGGGCTGGTTAAGTTGATGGTTAATGTATCTTCCTTGTGTAAAAGACAATAAATCATCCTTTAGTGTATCTAATTCGCTTTTAAATTTACTAATGTTTTCCATTTGTACTTCTTGCCACTGTTGTTGGCTTTCCTGTATTTGCTGCTGACTTTCTTCCTGTTTCATTTCTTGTTCCAGTTGCCACTGCTGTGATCTCTCTTCTTGTTTATGTTGCTGTTCGAGCTGCCACTGTTGCAGGTTTTCTTGTCACTGCTGTTGTCTCTCTTCTTGTTTCTTTTCTCGTTCTTCTTGTTTCTTCTCTTTTTCCTCCAACAACTGCTGTAATCTCTCTTGTTTATTTTGCTGTTCGAGCTGCCATTGTTGTAGGTTTTCTTGCCACTGCTGTAATCTTTCTTCTTGTTTCTTTTCTTTTTCCTCCAACCACTGCTGTAATTTCTCTTCTCGTTCTTCTTGTTTTTTTTGCTGCTCTTGTATTGCTGCCTTCAAGTCTGTTAAGCAGTAGTTTGATTTTCCGCCTCTCATTTCCATTTTTTTTATCCCACTTCTGACACCAATTTGTTATGTCTCCGTTTGTTCGTTAATTTTCCGTAAAAATTCTTTCCAAAGAAACTTTACCGATAGAAGTCCTTTCTTAAATAAAACTGGTTTATTCTTTCTGAATACAACTTTGCGATACACTTAATTTCAACAGTCGCTCTATAACAAACGCTATAATTCACGACGAACGTCTCATGTGCTCGGTTCAACAATACTCTGTCAGCATACATTCAATTACTCATTACATTAAACCTTTCCCATCGTTTCTTGGCTGGTCTTATATATACAAGAATACCACAATCTAGTAGTCTCCTGACAATTCAAGAAGGTTCGAGAAAGATGTGGTGTGATACTAGTCACGTGACCTCTGCTGTTGCAACAATATTAATAGTTTCCCTGTTGATTTACACATATTATTTATTTATAAATGTTAGTTTGATTTGTTTAAACATTTACATTCAAGAATGTTTGATAATTTAATATGATTTGAACTTTCTGAACACGTGTATGTTCAATCTACTGACGATAGTGTTCCAATTTAGTTTCAACTGGAATAATTAACTTGTAGGATATCGATAGCTTGTGATGAAGCTGTAATAGAGAAATATGGAGCTAATAAAGTTAAATTCTAGAGATATAGGTCATTATTTTTTTTATGTTTATAAAAATATTCTAGTTTATTTGTTTTTACCTGTTCTTGAACAGCATGCTCAGCTGACTTCTTCATATAAGACATCAGTTCCGGTTGAGTAAATGGCTCAAAAAAGTGCTGTTGAACACAGGTATTCTTGGTTAATAGTATATTGGATTTAATAATAAAAAGAATTTTGAAGTTAACAATTTTCTTACAATGAAAATATATTTCCAATAGGTACTTACCTCTCTTCTCACACTATGCTATCTCAATCTTCTTTTGCCCTCTAAGCATTGCTAAAAACATTTTCACTAACAGTGCACCAGTCTTTATACTCCATCAATTTTGCACCATTTCTGAACATGTACATATCATGTGACAACTTTCCATCAATAGTATTGCACCACCTATATTGGCACAGCTGGCTCCTTCTGATATTTCTTCTCAATTCTTACTTTTAAGAAGCATCAGCTTTGAAAAGAAGAACACTGGCTGTGGAGAGGAAGGGTGGGAAGTGGGTGAGAGGAGGTAAGTATCTATCAGAAATACATTTTCAGCGTAAGAAAAATGTTAACTTCCAATACGGTCTTACGTCCTTTCACACAAAGCTAGAATCCACACTGAAATGGTGGAGGGGCTGGTTTTGGCACACAACACAGAAACGAAGCAGAAAGTGACTGTCCATAATGAATGGGTGTACTCCAAGATGAACTAAGCACACATGTATGGTTTCACACTACATCTGGAACAGGTATAGTCTTCACTCTTGAAGTAAGAAATGAATCTGAAACAGGGCAGGTAAATACACAACCTCAACTGGACAGACAAGGTTTCATAACTCATCCTCAGAATTAGGAGGTTGTGTACAAATGCAATTCATTCTGAGAGATACATATGAAAATATAAACAGAATTAGCTATGTACATACACAACCTCAATCAGACAGATAAGATTCTGTAACTTGTCCTTGGCATTAGGAGGATGTGCACAAATGCTATTAATTTGGAGAGATACAATGCATAGTAAAATATAGTCAGAAGTATCTAAAAACATATACAACCTTAATTGGACAGACGAGATTCATAACTTGCCCTTGAAATTAAGAGTCATAACTGCAAGTGATTTTATACACCCCACATTTATCCTGTAATTCAAGTTTGTAAAAAATTATAATTAATACAAATAATCACCAGAAGTAATATTTTTAACATCAATGTTTCATTATATTTGCTTATTACAGTATAGTTACATCTGAAAGTGACAAACAGAACATTACAGCAGATTGAGATAATAGAACAGAAGGTAAAAATATATCTGTTATCAAACTATTGTCAGTACTTGTGGCAACAATACTGAAAATTTATAACTTCAAACCATGAGAAACAATTATAAGTAAAAAATTTAATACATGAAAAGAAGAAAGATAGAGGGAGAGAAAATAATATATTAATTAAGCTTATGTAAATTACAGACTCAGTTCTCATCATAAATTACAAAAATTATATTTAATATATATTCCCTGAATTAATGCCTAAGTTTTGAAAATACAAGCCTAAAACTAAAAATATCCAACAACAGAATTCACCCCAATCACAGTTTAGTGTAGGATTCAATTTTTCTAAGAACAAGGACTCTTTAAACATTCTTTCAAGCAAGGTTTTGTTGCTTTTAAAATATCAACAGTCATTACTAGTGGTAAATCTTCGATGTTATAGTAATGCTATCTTAAATGCTCTGAATTTTCACAATGAAGTATCCAGCCAATATAAATTGATTACATTCTTTATACACCAATTATAATTTCAGTCCTTAATCCATTACATAGCAATTTCTTTTCTTGTTGAAAGCAAAGGTAACAAGTTGTGATCTAAATTTTACGTAGACATTGGATGATTTTAACCAATTCACTGTGACTGTGCTGTATATGGAATTTAGTTACCATTGTGAGAGGTACTGATGAGAAAAGACAAGATATGACTGACCCAGTGTTTGGTAACAACACTTGGATGGATGGAGTGTGCCTCAACATTCATAAATACCTTTTACCAGCTCATGCAGGATATTTAAAAATTAAATACCATATACAGCACATTTTCAGTGTACAGAAGAAAAATTCCAACCCATGTACATGACAAAATTGGAAGATTATTATTTTATATAAATATATATATACTGATGTTATGTAGATTCAGGAAATATTCATAATACCACATAGAAAACAATGTTGAATTTTCTTTTCCCAACAGTTATTTTCGGTTTGATTCCAAATTATTCCATCAACTTGAAGGTAATCAACTATGGGTAATTACAGTGTCTTTCAGAAGAAAAGACTTTACAGCATGGTGCAAACAGTATGTAGTACCAGACCTTTGGTGTGGGTTCATCAATTGTTCATATAGTATGTTGAATGGTGGACTGGATCATCACCTCAAATTTCACAGCTTTCTCACAACAAAACGTTCTTCCATCAAATTCAGTCTTGTTCACTCCACAAACAGCAGTAATAACTATTGATTATAAGCATTTATATACATTCTTACATTACAAGCCTCATCCTAGCCCTATTTTTTATAACCCACTACTCAAAACAATATAAAATATTAAGCTATTTTAGGGGAAACACAGTCATATTGACTCAGGACACAATACCTAAAGCACCACTCATAAGGCTCAATATGAACAAGAACTATCTTAAAGAATAAGTAATATCCATCTGACTAACCACATCAAATATTTAAATATTCTGACAACAAAGATCATGCCACCATTGCCTGCATGAAACCCAGCAAAAACATATTCAAATAGTTTGTAACATCTCATCTCAGGAAATCCATAGGCAACACTATTAATCTTCCAGCCAAATCATCCAACAAAGAAAAAAGTTGAAATCATAACTTGTTATTTCTGCTTTCAATAATAACTCTTATGCAAGAAAAATAAATGCTTAGAAGCAGAGCAATGATTATCTATATTACATAAATAGCAATGTGTGTAAATTAAAACATTAAGAATGGAATCAGAAAAGACAGGCCAAGAATTTCACCAGAGAATTTCAGAACTTGTAAGATTCACTCAACGATAATGTACAGACAACATTACATTAACACCCAAGGATTAACCAACAGGTAAACCAATAGTGAATGTTGATTCTTGAAAGCAATATAAAAAGTTTATTGAAAGAAAATACACAGTCCTTGTTTTCTAAAAAATGAAACATACCCCAAGTTATGGTTTGAAAAGTTTCTATGAAAAAAGCCTTTTAATTTCAGGCTTTTATTATCAATTTTTATAATATATGGATTTGCCCGATAACTTAATTTTTTTTTTCCCACCTACTGGTGTGGTAATCCAAACTTATAGCTGCACACAGCTTGAGATCTATGCAAAAATGAGAGATTTGTGGATCAATGTTGCAGAAAGAATATGCAATGATTTGTAACAAGGGATTCATATAAAGTCATGATTATAAAATTCAAAGACTTCTTCAGGATTTTTCAAGGCCTCAACTTATGTTTTTTGACAACTTCCTGATGTTGTTCCATTATTCAAAAAATCAGCTGTACTGTTTTTACTAAAGAAACTAAACCTTCACATTTATACAATACTTTTCACTTTATGTACAAGATCTTAGTGCACTTTTATTCATTTTTCACAGCCTGATTACTTTGATACAAGTGGTACAACATACTGTACAGTAATATCCTTGTGTTCTTTGACACAATTTTTGTATTCATCTTGGTTAACCACCTCCTATTCCTGATGATGAAACATACGATAATAAGGCATTCAATTCATGAAAATAGATATAAATTAAATCTCACACTTTCAACAAACAATATACAGATACAGCCACAACACAACATTTATTGCTGTTTTCCCTTACTAATTTATTTTGCTTTACACTTGACACTTGCTGAAAAATCACACTATCAAAATGGTTTTATGGTGGGGAAAAAGATTATGAAAAAAATCACGTTCTCTGAAACCACAAGAGAGTTAACTGAAGTAGAACTCTGCCAAAGACAAAAATAACTTAGAAATTTATTGACCTCAAGAAACTTCTGAATGGCTCAATTACATAAAACTATAGGACTTATCAAAAAAGGAATTTTATAGAATAGTTTGATTTAAGAATTTTTCAAGTGATTTTCTCAGAATTCAAGGGCATTTTAAGGCAAAATATGAATTTATGGACTTTTCAAGACAAAAGAACTTTTTAAGCTCTGTGCAAACCCTGGAATAAGTAATACAATAGACAATGTTGAAGTCCAAACAATTAAAAAAATAATACATTTTATTTATTAACACATAGAAGCAAACAAGCAAATATACAAAAATGAAAAAAGAGTAAGAAAATGTCAAAAGTGAGTTAATAGTGTTTTACTGCAGCTCTTATAATCAACAGGTAGAAACATTATGAGACCAGGATGGGACTTTCAGAGCAAGTTTTGGCTCTCATACAAAGGTAAACTGCTCTTCTCAAGCCCAAATTAATTTTCTCTAAAAGCCCCAAAACTACATACCACAAACCACATTTGCCATGAAGCTGACCAATCAGAAAAGGGCATTGGGGTGCTGACATATCTGTTCCATACAACAGCTGTAAGGGATTACACGATACAACGATAAGTTCCCTTGCCAGACAAGCTATGAAAAATAAGACCTCAGGTTGAATTTATCACATGTCCTCTACCTAATTTAGTATGTTCCAGAATCAAAACTTAGAAAAACTTAGGAACTGTATGTGTATAATAAATACAATATGAGATTAACATATGTAGTACTACATGTTACAACCTTCCTTCTCCTCATCAATTAATAAATTACTATATGAAATGGAGATATTACAAGAAAATGTATCCTTCATACTGGAAGAGAACACCACTGTAACACACTAAACAATCACCCTTACACAGAACTCGCACACATGATAAATGTTTTCATGTACAACTAATTAAAATGAATAATATGTAATAAAGCCAAAAACAAAATAAAAGCCATTAGAAAAACAAAATATGAGATTAAAAAATGAATCCTCTAAACACATGAATCATGAAAATATAGTACAGTATACAATAATACTCAGAAATAGTATAAAAATAATATAAAACTTTAAAACAAAAAATTACAAAATA